GATTCTCCAAGTAGGCTTAGTAAGACCAACAAACACAGTAAAGAGAGTAACTGTAGCAAAAGTTCCAGCCAGTCTGGAAGTGCTTAGCTTAACTTTTCCAATGACTTTTGTGATCATGCTTCAAGAAAGGCTGTTAAGAGCAGCAACAATAGCATTTGTCCAGAAGAGAAGGGGTGTTGTCTTACCTGAACACCTTTTCTCAGTACAGAGCTGGAGCATCCACCAATGGGTTTTCTCTGTCTGCCTGCTCTTGAGACCAAGTTAGACAAACTTGACATGCCCCCTGTTTCTAGGAGATCCAGTCTTGACGAGGGCGAAAGTGGCTGATGGTAGAACTAGGTGTTGGCTCTCAGACCCCTAACTCCAGCCTAACTGACGTAAGGGGTGGGTGTGGATTCTCAATCTCCATACTGAGAAAAGGTGATAGGTAAGACAAAACCCCTTCTCCAGTACAGGAGATGGAGAATCCACCAATGGGACATACCAAAGCCTCATTGTCCCAGTGGGTAGGAAACAGATAAGGCCAGCTCTACATTCCCAGAGACCACCTGCTGGAGGACCCTCCGACCAAAGGAGGCATCCGCTGAAGCGAAGCAGTCAATCCTATAATGGCGTACAAATGGAGAAGGCGAGGATGATGTGGCAGCCCTGCAAATGAATGGATGCCTGACTGGCCCATGCCACAAAGTTCGCAGTGCTGTGAGTGGAGTTGGCTGTGATATGACTTGGAGCTGGCAGGGAAGAAGACTGGTATGCCTCCGCGATACAGGCCCTGATCCACCTGCCCATGGTGGAAGGGGACACCTTCTGCCCCAGGGAAGCCAGGAGGAAAGAAATAAAGAGGGCCTCTGACCGGCAAAATGGTGCAGTGCATTTAATGTAATGCCTCAGAGCCCTGCGAATGTCCAGTGTGTGCTACTGCCGCTCCAAGTCATGAGCAGAATCAGGGAAAAATTAGGCAAAATGACTTTCTGTGGTCTATGGAAGTGAGTTGACCTTGGGCATGAAGGTGGGATCCAACCGAAGGACCATCTGGTCCTGGTGGAAGACACAAAGATCATTCCTGATCAAGAGAGCAGCCAGCTCGGAAATACATTTGGCTGACGTGATGGCGATCAGGAATGCGACCTTGTAAGATAAGGCCCGTAATGGTATAGTAGTAATGGGCTCAAAGGGTGGTTTTGTAAGTGCATGAAGCACGTGAGGCATCTCCCAAGAGGGATATCTGTGTACCACGGGAGGTCTAGTATTGCATGCACCCTTGATGAAGGCGCGTATCCTAGGCTGGTGAGCTAGGGGGACTGAATTTGCGCAAGTGAGCAATGTTGATAGAACCGCCACCTGCCTACAGATGGTCGCAGGGGCCAGGCCTCTGTCCAGACCTTCGTGAAGGTAGTCTACGATCTGAAGGATAGTCAATTGGTAAACATCCAGTTGCCACCTTCCGCATCAATGGCAAAAAATTTTCCAGGTGGAATCATAAATACGATTGGTCGCCAGCCTACGAGAGGCCTGAAACATAGTGATTGCCCATGGCGAGAACAACTCTTGAGTCATGATCTTGTTCTCAAGCGCCAGGTGACTAACTGTAACCATCGGGGGTCTGGGTGTTGGAGGACCCTCTGGTGTAAGGACACGCAATGCGGGGGAATCTTCCACGGGGGAGAACGGGAGATATTCATTAGGTTGGCAAACCAGGGCCTCCGTGGCCAGTACGGGGCCACGAGGATCACCTCCACTTGCTCTTGGAGCAGTTTGCGGATGGTCACCAGGATGAGCATGGGGGAAGGCATAAAGTAGGCCCTCCAGCCACGGAGTCCACTGGGCGTCCGTCCCCTCCATCCCTGGGAAGTAATAGCTATAGAGCTATAGTTATAGAGCAACTCAGAAAATCTGCCTCCCGGTTCTTCTCCCCCGAGATGTGATCAGCCCTTATGGATGCCAAGTTGGACTCTGCCCAGGATCCCAGCAACCGGGCCTCAGACATGAGGGACCTGGACCTGGTGCCCTCCTGCCGGTTCACGTGGGCCTTGAACGCCATGTTGTCCGTAAGGACCAATATGTGAAAGCCTCTGATCTGGTGGTGGAAGTGGCAAAGATCTAACTGAATGGCCCTGAGTTCCAACCAGTTGATGTTGTGTCTCATGTCTGTGTGGGATCAATGGCCCTGCGGAAACTGAGACTGTAGATGGGCTCCCCAACCGAACAGGCTGGCGTCTGTCATGATGGTGAGGTGGCCGGGCTCCTTGAAAGGTGACCCCTTGATAACCGCCTGTGAGAACCACCAGTGAAGAGACCTCAGGGTTTGGATCAGGAGTCTCACCTCCTGGCTAGATGCACTGTCGTTCAACTGCTGGAATGTTAGAAGGAACCATTGGAGCTCCCTCAAGTGGAATCTGGCCTAGGGAACTATGGCTATGCAGGAGACCATTTTCTCTAGTAGCTGAGAGAGCAAGACCAGTGGAACAGTGCGGTCCTTGTACACTCGACAAGCTAGGTCTCTGATGCTGTCCAACCGCTCCTGGGAGAGATAGACCATACAATTGTTGGTGTTTATGATGGCTCCCAGGTGCAGAAGTCTGGATGAGGGAACCGTCTGGCTTTTTCAGAGGTTCACCAAGAACCCGTGCTGTTGGAGGACCTGAATTGTTAGGTCCAGGTCTGACTGGGTCGCCCAGAAGGAGGATCAAGATGTCGTCCAGGTACCAATGGACATGTACGAGTGCCTTCCATAGATGGGCGGCAAGCACAGCCAGGATCTTGGTGAACATCCTGGGCGCCGAGGAGAGGCCGAATGGGAGGGCCCTGTATTGGAAGTGATGGCCCCTGTAACAGAACCTGAGGAACCACCGGTGATCCGGGAGGATAGGGATGTGAAGATATGCTTCCGTGAGGTCTATTGATTCCAGGAAGTCTCTCTGTCTGATGCCTCCCAGGATGGACTGGAGTGATTGCATCTTGAATTTTTTGTAAGCGATGTAATAATTCAGACCCTTGAGGTCTAGAATTGCCCTCCATCCCCTCGAGGTCTTGGGCACCATGAAGAGAATGGAGTAGAATCCCCTTCCCCTGCAATCTGACGGTACTGGTTCTATGGCCTGTATTTCCAAAAGATGGTGAATGGCCTCCTGCATAAGCCCCTGTTTGATTGGATCCCAAGATGTGGGGCAGGTGATGAAATGACCCGGGGGACTGGACAGGAACTCGAGGGACAGGCCATATTGAACGGTCTGTAATACCCAGCTGTCCGTGGTTGTAACCCCCCACCAATGGAAGAAGTGGGTCAGCCTGCCCCCTATGGGGAGGGTCACATGAGAGTCACTTGGACCTCCTGAAGGGATGTCCTGTCCCTTGAAATGGCCATTTGTTTTGATTCTGCTTTCTGGGCCGAAAGCCTGCCCTGTCATACGGATGGTCATATGGGCAGTCCTGTCTAGGCATGAAAGAACGGGAGGGTTGGGTGGTTGTGAGCCCAAAGTCGGCCAAATGACTGCCTACAGGGATAAGGAGTGGCACGCTTGTCAGACCGTTTGGTGAGATGAGCCATGACCTTCTGCTTGTCCTTGTTTTTCATAAGGTACGAGTTCAACGACTCCCCAAAGAAGTGGTTGCCTTGGTAGGGGGCGGTTGCAAGATGCCATTTGGCCTTGGCGTCAGCCTGCCAGTGCATAAGCCATAGCATCCTCTAAGCTATAACGTTGGAGGCGAAGGACCTGGAGGCAAAGTTGGCCGATTGAAGAGTTGGGTCAGACACACAGAGGTAGAAGCCTCCTGTCCAGGCAGTCGATAAGCCCATGCCGCGAGTGCCCGGTCTACAACTTTAGAGAGCAGGGCCTCAAGGCGGCCATCGGAGAAAATGTCTCCAAGTTCTGGGTCCCTGAGTCCAGCTGCCATTGGGGTGAAGGTGGCCTCAGGGACTGAGCGTGAGGATGCCGGTCCTCGAACTGTGGGTGGGTTGGCAGCTGTGTTCTGATCTGTCGCTGTGGTCGAGGCATCCACCAAGGACCACACGCCCTGAGACGAGGGTGACAGACCTAAAGGGAAGTCAAAATCTGGGCCCGCCAAATGATTTGTCTCCGGCCTGCCTTACCTCTGCGCTCTGGGGAACTCCTTCTCCAAAGCCTGCTGCCTGCAGCTGGCTTGCTTCTCCGCCAACTTGGAAGGCTTTTTCAGGGTGGCCTTAGCCTTGTTCTTGAGCTTACCTGCTGTCTCCTGTTTGGAGGTTTGGAGGATTTGTGCCGGCTGTAACTTGAGGACAGGGAGGTGGTGCTCATGAGATGAGGCCTTAGTTGGCCAGTCAAGGTGCACCAGAAAGTCCAAAGAAGGATGCAGAGGGCCTGAATTGAAGGCCTGGCAGGGGAACTACAAAAGGAGAGTTCACTCATGAGCTCAAAATTGCTGGCTGAGAATGGCCGAGCATCCTTCTACTCCAGTTAAGGGCTGCATTAAAACTGATTAGTCTAATTGCTGGCAGTCCTAAAAACCAATCCACAGAAGAGAGTGAAAAGTGCCCCTACAAGCAGACCACCATTGTGGGCTGAATGATCAGCAAAAAGGGCTTGGTCAAAATGACAGCCACTCCGAATGCTCCAGGGGATTCCCTGGAGCGATCCGAAGCTCCGTGTGAAGCCAGGAGCCCTTCCGCCGACCCCACTAGCTGGAAACTTAATTTTGGAAGGTCTGTGAGGGGAACCTGCTTTAACGAGCAAACGGCTCATCTTTGGTTGCCAGACGCTTCGGCGGCACCCAAAATGGCGGCTGCAACTTGCCAGCCATTGGGGAAGCTGCCTGAAGCCTCGTGGGGTCATTTACACTGAGGAGCTGGTCGGAGCAGCAGCACAAGGGATCCCATGAATGAGGATAGAAGGAAAGGAAGTCACCCAGAGCCCTGGGGAAAGAAAACAAAAACAAAAAAAATGGCTGCAGTCACCCCCCCCCCCAACCAAGCCTCAGATCATCCGATCTGAGGCAGCGCTGATCCCATCACTTCTGGAAGAGAGATGGAGTGTGAGGAGAAGATCAAAGAATCCACCAACCTGCTGAATTTGAAAGGTAAGAGGAGAATCCAACAATGGAAAAACTATCTGCTAGCTAGTTAAATAGAGACTGTTGAAATCAGAGACCCAAACCTGACACGTCTTCAAGAGCTTGAGACCAAGTCAAGATTGGGTCTCCTAGCAACAGGGGGCATGTCAAGTTTGGCTAACTTGGTCTCAAGAGCAGGCAGACAGAGAAAACCCATTGGTGGATTCTCCATCTCCTGTACTGGAGAACAGTTGTGCAACTTTTCCGAACTTCGATTACAAATTTGGATGATCACTCTTCCATTCTTTTTCAGTCCATTACTTTCAATATTTTATCAGTATTTAGATATGCTGTGTGTGTGTGTGTTTGTGTGTGTGTGTGTGTGTATCTATCAATCAGTCTGTACAGGGAGTTTTGAATAGTGGTTAGAGTGTTGGCTTAGCAATCCTACTTTAGGCATGACTGGTTGAGGAGTTCTATGAGAGTTCAGGTATGATTTTTCACAATGGGTCAATCCACAAATAATTGCATTAGAGATTGACTCAAGAAATTATATAAATGGAATTGAATCTATGTGATGAATTCACCTTTGAGTGTTTGGCTCTGAGCCGTATGTAAAAATATGTGATCCTTACTTTGCCAAATCTTATTTGCCATCTTGATATTTTTTTTAACGTTGGAGGTAAAACATTTCCTGAAAAGAAACCTCAGCAGAAGATCACATTCACGACTGACCACACTATCAATACTCAGGAAAAAAATAACATGGCTTGCCGTCTATTGTCATCAAGAGACCATAAAATTAAAGAATTGAAAAATGAAGTGGCTTTTCTGAGGAATAAATTGGAGACCTTTGCTACGGAAAATACAATCTTGAAGCGTCTTCTCAGGACATCTGAGGAAGAAGAGCGCAGGGCTTCTAAGAAGCTGAGAGAGGTTCAGGCGGAACTCTTAAAAACAACGGACGCCTTATTGACTTTCCAGAAACTTTCTGAAGACAAGAAACATGGAGAGAGAGGAGAACCTTGTCCTAAATTAACATCACTTCCCCCAAAATTGGAAGCCAGTGATAAGAGAATCCAGGTAATATGCAACGTACATTGCTTAGAACAACCTAGCTGGGCTCTGTGAGACCCCTATAAAGAAATGCATTAAGAAACAAGAACAGCTTCCCCAAAGCTCTATTTTACAAGGAAATCTATTTGTATTCAGATTTTTAAATATTTATCCAGCAATTAGAGACGTAGATGTGCTGCATTAGGTTTCCCACTTCAGTTCTTTCAGAGTTTCTTATTTGCTGGAAGAGATCATAATTTCAAACGTCATTGTTAGAATACTTTTTCCCAAGCTTTACCAATAATAGTGATAATAGTGATAGGCGGTGACCAGTCTAGCTTTAATTTCCTGACACAGACTAGCTTGTCCAGCTGTATGACTTTTTACCAATGACTTCTTTCTTCAGTCCATCTCTAGGAAAATAGATGCAATAGGATCTTTTGGTATAACGCTAGCTTTTTACAAACCTTGTATCAATCCTTGAAGAAAAGGAGTAGCTGCACAAATATGCAATGAGGAAGATTTTGGTAATAAATTTTCATATCCATTAACGAAATCAAAATCTCAAGGTATAAAAAGACATTATTGAAAAATAAGAATGTAGGAAAACAAGAAGATTATAAATAGACTACTTGTATTAAAATTGATATTAGCTAAGCTAATTACTGATAAATCTTAGTTTCACCACACAATCCTAGTTGGATGTTGAAAAAGACTACCGGGGTGTTTTGAGTGGATGTTGGGCAAAACTTCTTGCTCTTCACACTTCCTTTCATTTTTGTACATAGATTTTCTGATGAATCACATAGACAGGCAGTGATTCCCTTTCTTCCACATGGCAACTTGAAGAGTGCGGCCCAGGTTTTTTCAGTGGTATGCTGAGCATAGCACTTGAGGCCTTTGTATACAAACCACACCCATACACAGCCTCCTGAAGTGGCCCCTGATTCTTCCATCCTGGGCCCCTTCCACTGCCTCATCTTCTTTCTGCTCAGTGCCAACATCATTCCCAATGGCTACATGGGGGTGTCTGTTGTCTTCTTGGCCACCATTCCCAAGCAGTGTTGCCAAGTGCCTGCTAACACCATCCTGAGCATGGTGTGGCTCAATGCTAGCATCCCCCTGGATAAGCACGGTGGGCAGCTGGTGTAGTTCTAGTGCAGCAGCTACTCCCTCGAGGCCCTGCTCAACTTCTCTGCCAGGAACCTGGAACCCAGGCATGATGTCATTCTCACATTATCATGGAGGTAGGCAGGAGCTAGCTCACCTTTGGAGCCTTGGAGACATGGCAGGGGAGGCTTGCATCACCTGGTCTCAGCGCAAGCTATGGGACAGTTGGCAGTGGAGGAGGAGGTGGCAGATGCTGCTGGGCAGGTGATCTGCAGAGGGAAGAGGGGTGGCCAAGACCGAAGAAAATTCCTCCAGAGGTGCATGCGGCACTCGAACAGCAATAGCAGAGCCTTTCACCATCATTCCTCCCTGGCTCTGAAACGGCAGAGGGGGACCGAGAAAGGTTACCGAGCCTCCCCCACACATACTCCATAGCATGGCAGTCTGGCTCAGAAGGGGATTGAAACCGAAAGGCAGGTGGGCAGAATAGGCAGGTTGCCAAGAAAGGAGTGGCCTGACTGCAGGGACCCTGAGATGCACGGCTGCAGGCCATGTGGGCAGCTCCACTGCCTCTTCTCATCTCGTGGCAGCGGCACCAATGAAATCTGGATGGAGTGTCTTGACTAGGGCTTAATTTCGGGGTAGGGCTTATATTAGGGGCATGCATGAAAATCAGGCTAGGGCTCTTTTTCGGAATAGATCTTATTTTTTTGGGAAAACACAGTATATACTTTGTTAAAGTCAGAACTATTTTGTATCAATATATTTGGGAAGGACCTTTAAGGTCAAATTGAATTAATGGTTTATGAATTGTAAAAATTTAAAAAAAACTGGTAAAAAACGTCACAGTTCCAGGAAAAAAGGTTATGTATCTTTCAGAATCTTTAGAAAACGAAGAATTTGGCCAAATTATGCATTAGCAAAGAATTAAAATACGGATAAATGAGATACTGGGGGGAGTTATGCAGTGAAATGTATCATCTCTGAAGATCTGACATTAATACAATAAACTATATTATCAACATAAATTTAATAATGCATTTGTTTAAGAAAGAGAACAAGAACTAAGCATAACATATTTATGCAGATGCAGAAACGTCAGCCAGAGAAAGGTGATTCCTCTTCTTTTCCAAAAGGTAGCACAGATTTTCTTTCAGATTTTATTGTGAAATAAAAATATGATAACTCGTTTGACTCATCAAAAAATATTTCAAATCCTGGTTTAGTTTGCAGCAAAGTAGAAGTCACAGGCAAATTTATTTATATATATATGTGTCAAATTTATATAGCATACCTGCCCATCACACTAGAACTACCTATACTACAACATAGTATAGCTAGTATAGCTATTTGCATTAGTATCTAATAAAAGTGATATGAAAGCATAAGAATTAAATCACTTCAAACATGTCAGTAAAATATCACTTGCCTTTCACTGATGTCAGTCATGAATGTGTCATGTTTATTTATTTATTTTTGACTTTTCATACTTGTTAAAGTCAGCCAAGCAATACGAGGAAAGATCAGCCTAAAACCCAGGACTCTTGGGAAGCGTGCACCTGAAGGAAGTCGAATGACCTTCCACGAGGTATGGAATAGCTGAACAAGCCTTTTATCGTTCTTAACTTCTGATTGTTTGTAAGATTTGGTTCTGCTGATTTGCCATCTTCTTGTAACATGCATCTTCTACTCTCTCTCTCTCTCTCTTTTTTTTTTTTTTGCAGAAAATCTATTACTATGTTATAAACATAACGTTGTTGCCAGAAAGGAAGCTCAGGGATGCAACTTGAAAATTTCTTATTGTATTAATAGGAAATTCTTGGGATAGTTAAGAAAATGTTTTAAGATATGGGATAATGTGTGGATTATGATAATATTTTATACTGATCCATGGTTTGATTCTGGTTTGCTGAAGAAATAATGTCTACTTCATCCTCTCTCTTTCCTGGCTATTCTTATTGTGCTAGGAATGGCTGCTTCTTTCGTCCCTTAATAACTTTGTCCTTCTTTTGAGCAGGGTCTTGGGGACTCTGTTGATACAGATAGTCAGAGTGATATCTATATACTATTAAAACTCTCTGGTTTGTCTCTGTGTAAGTGTTAAATGGGCAAAATAGTGTGTCGTAGGGCAATCATTTTTAAACCAAGATACCTGAAATGGGCTTATTTACACTGCAAAATCTGGAACCCATGGCTTCTGTGGAATTGAAGTTAGGCAAAATTTATCAACCATTTTATGACATAAAATTATCATAAGACATATTAGGACATACTACAAAATGTCACAAAATATTTCCTTTGGTCAAATGCTGATCTTTGACCATGCTATATAGTTCAACATTTCAATATCTCCATGAATTTTTAACAACTTTTCTACTGTAGACAGTACATTAGAAGCTCTGTTATGTTCAAGGCATTGAAGAAAATGGTAAGGTGATATCTCTGAAAAAATGACCCAATGGCTTGTGGATTCTCTGGCATTAACTGTATAGGACAAGGAAGTTCTTGTTTCAAGTCCACCTTCATTCACAATACCTTCGGCAACTTTGGTATTTAGTGACTATCAATTCAATCAAATTAATAACCTGGATTGGAGGAAATATGGAAGTCTTGAAGAAAAAGTGAGATATACATCTAAGAAATAAATAAAATAAAACTTTTATTTATTTATGTTTCCCTAACTTGGATTACCATTTTAATCTATGTTAATGTAATAGGAGAGTTTAGGGAGAGTTTAGATCAGCGGTTCTCAACCTGTGGGTCGCGACCCCATTTGGGATTGAACGACCATTTCATGGGGGTCACCCAAAAACGCAGTCTGCCATTTTTTCCCCCTTTCCTTAGCTGTGCTACTCCCTTTCATTCTATTGGCTTTTGAAAGCCAATAGAATAGACTTTCTTGAATAGAGTCTAATTCTATTGGCTTTCAAAAGCCAATAGGAATTGTCCAGGCTGTCTCTGCCCTGCTGAGCCCATCAAAAGTCCCATTCTGCAAATGGTGCTGCAAGATGTCTGCAGCGAAGGCGAGCTGTCTGGAAGTTTCTACCCCTCCCTGCTGAGCAACTACTAAAAATGTAAGTAAAATAGGGCCAGGGGTAGGAGGTGGGAGGCCGGTGGGCGCAGGGAGGGTTGCTCGCGAACGTGGGGCCCGGCGGGTGCCTTACCTCCCTTGGACTGGGCCAGCTGGTGGCCCAGCCGGTGGTCGGTCTGCTCTGTCTCTGCCGCTTGCCAGCTACGCCTCAGCCGGCACAGGGGGCGGCACCATGCATGCACGGTGCTCCTGGGCAGGGAAAGTCCTCGACTTACGACTGGTTGGGTAGTCCTCGACTTACGACCTGTTTAATTCTCAATTTACCACCGGTTGAGTAGTCCTCGACTTACGACCGGTTGGAGGTCGCGGCATTAAAAAGGTTGAGAACCACTGGTTTAGATAGATACTTTATTAGACAGAGTAAAATGAAACGAAGGATGAGGACTATAGATAAGTCTGCAATTGATGTGGAAGGGAGATGTAATGACACTTTATCACTTACACAGATAAAAGGTAACATGCATTTATAGATATATGCTTTTTTCTGTGACCTTTCAGGAGTTAAAAGCCAACGCAGATGTGGAAGCATTATACATTATCGGTAAAAAAATTGAGCCTCAAACAGGAGTTCATCTCCCTGAAATATCACCAGCGCACATTTCAAACAGGACATTCATGGGTAAAAACCATAGTTCACTATAAATATTGAACTGTAACTTTTTCTTAAGGATTCAAACAGAGTGGCATAATGCTTTGTTTTAAACTGCTCTATGTTACTGTGAATAATGTCTATTCTTCAGAAGAAATCCAGAATTTGGCATTTTTCCTGGAGAAATTATTTAAACTGAAAGCGCCAATTTAAATAATTTGTGATACTTGATAAAATATTGTGCTTTTGTTACTGTTGTTTGTCTAACTGATAATGCATATTCCTAAATAGTTATTGTTGAAATAACGTTTTTTGCAGGGTTACAAAGTGAAGAGAATGGCTCAAGGGTAGAAAAAAACATCCAGGATGAAAACAGAGAAAGGCAGAAGACCAGGAGAGAAAGGCAAGGGTTGGACTTATTCAAAGAAGAGTTTAATGAATTAAAGGCTGGACCATCATTTTTTTCTGTAAATCATGTTATGCCCCAAGTAAACAATCATGTTATGCCCCAAGGAAACAAAGAAGATAAGGAAGCAAAAGAAGAAAATTTGCATCAGGGATATCCCTCAACTGATCCCTTAGTCAGCCCAAGGATCCCATTCAGTGCAAGGCAACATGGTGAATTAACCCACTTTTTAGGAGATTATGAGCCCTCATTTACCAAATTTCAAAATGAGAGACCAAAAAACAACCCTTCACCTCCTGTTGAAGAAAACAGGCCGAAGATACCACCAGAAAAGAAAAAGCTTCTGTTGGAAAAACTATTTGGTCCAAACCGCATATTAAATAACAAATGATGGCTGTGATTCCAGTCAAGCGGATAGATATTAGATAATAATCAGAGAATATTAGAACTACGACATATTAGAGTGTACATAGCAGATAGTATTAGAACTAGGATATTTTAGATAGTAGATATTAGATAGTATTGGAACTAAGTGATATTAGCTAGTAGATATTAGTATTAGAACTAGGATGGATAGTGGATATTAGTATTAGAATATATTAGATAGTAGATATTAGATAGTGTTAGAACTAACCAACATTAGGTATTACATACTAGTGTTAGAATGAAGCTATATTAGATAGTAGATAATATTAGAATTAAGTGATATTAGCTAGTAGATATTAGTATTAGAACTAGGATATATTACATAGTGCATATTAGTATTAGAATATATTATAGATAGTAGTTATTAGATAATATGAAGACTAGGAGATATTAAAAGTTTCTATAGTTACTATTGCAATAAGCATCACAAAAAACTTTTGTTAATTTTTTGCACATTTTTATAAAACATATATTAAAGGAATTTTGAAAAAGATGTTTTATGACTTATGCTTATCAATCAAATCTTATCAAATAAGAATTTCTTGAACCATCTTTTTTCCTACTTGAAATGAATAAAGGAGAATATTTCTTTGCAGCTTATAGTCAGTGATGCTGTTTCACCACACGAGGGAGCCAAAGACTGTATTCTAATTATATTTACTAGACCAATTGGATTTAATGTTATAAACTTTGAATTTTTAGTAATGTTTTGGGGCAATGGCTTCACGTAAGAGAACTGAAAGAAATGAAATAAGATTATCAGGAGAAGCTGAATCTTCAAGTGCTTTTTTGGATTAATGTACAGCAAAAACAAATGAAGTAATTCAGGCAATGGGAACAAAGCTTGAACTGCATTCTAACCAATGAGCCATGGTGACAGCGGTTAGAATCCAGTATCACAGGCTAACTCTGCCCACAGCCAGGAGTTCAATCCTAACTGACTCAGCCTTCCATCCTTCCAGTCGGTAAAAGGAGGACCCAGATTGTTGGGGGAAACATGCTAACTCTGTAAACCATCTAGAGGGGGCTGTAAAAAACGATGAAGCAATATATAGGTCTAAGTGCTATTGGACCTTACACACTTTTAAAAGAACTCGATGAGGAAATACAACTCTTAGCTGGAGATATTAAACAGAGAAAGGATAGAGTGTAAGAAATGAAAGTTTAGAAAATAAATATTGGGAGCATCTTCAGCCCCATGCCTTCACCTAGAAAATAAAGAAATAGATAAAGTACAGAGGATAATTTAACCTCGCTGATTTACACACTGAATCACAATCACTATGGCATTGATTCCCAGATTGTTGGGGGAAACATGCTAACTCTGTAAACCATCTAGAGGGGGCTGTAAAAAACGATGAAGCAATATATAGGTCTAAGTGCTATTGCTAGACCTTACACACTTTTAAAAGAACTCGATGAGGAAATACAACTCTTAGCTGGAGATATTAAACAGAGAAAGGATAGAGTGTAAGAAATGAAAGTTTAGAAAATAAATATTGGGAGCATCTTCAGCCCAGACTTTTATGCCTTCACCTAGAAAATAAAGAAATAGATAAACTGGGTGGTACAGAGCCATCCAGATAGGCAGCAAAATTTAACCTCGCTGATTTACACACTGAATCACAATCACTATGGCATTGATTTTACATTCCCTATGATTTATTTATGAAAATTTCTGTGGCTGCTGAACTTACTCTAAGCTGCCTGGAAGTTGCCTATTGAGTCAAAGGATTGTCAACTTCTATGTAACAACTGTCCTATTGAAAGAAAACTAAGAGGAAAAGGAAGCAGGTGAATAAGGTAGTGGTTTCCTTGGCAATGAAATCAGTTATGTGTGAATGCAACATGTTTGCTAAGACGTGCCACTGGGAGTAATTATGTAGCCAGGATATTAAGATAGGACTGCTTGGAGAATTTCAAAGTGGGTGTGGAGGGGCTAGAGAGAGAGTGATTTGGGGACACATCTTTAGTAAAAGTCTCTGAACACGGAGCAGCATCACTTTCCTTTCTTAAAGAGCAATCACTCAAGTAGCTTCCAAAGACTTCTGCGCACAAAAAAGCAGAGGTTTAGTGGCCCTGTAGCAGCTTGGCAAGCAGAGAGAATCCCCAGGGCATCTCCACTTCTCCAAGTTCAGCTGTCCCTCCTCCTTTCCCCCACCTCAGTTAATTGGCTCTTGGGTATTTCCAGAACTGAAGAACCAAGAGATGATTGGTTTGTGAGAGTATTTGTTGAGAGGGACTTCACCTGCTTGTCACTTTAGATTGACGGGTTGGGAGCCCTTAAAAGGCCAAGTGCTAGCAAAGCATCATTCATTGCAAGTTGGTGGAGTGGGTGTGGTGGGAGAAAGAGGCATCCAAGAGCAGGAGGAGCAAGAAGGGAATCTGTTTCTTGAAAGATTGGTAATGGTCTTGACAGTTTTTTCTTAATTCAGTTAGGGCATTCAAGGAAAATTCTACATTGCCTTACAAAATGAAAAAAGGAAAATATGATTTGAAAGCTGACTTGCTTCAGCAGGGACCATTTTCTACAGACACCATCCTCGAGTCAGCAAGATTCGTTTGATATTGCAATTAACAGAAAACATCCTCAAGCAGGAACACCAATTTTGCATGTACAAAATTAAGAAACAATAACCACTTCTTTAAAGTTCCATTTTACAAGGAAATCCATTTATGTTCAGTAATTATCCAGTAATTAGAAACATAGAAGTGCTGCATTTTGTTTCCCACTTCAGTTCTTTGGGAGTTTGTTATTTACTGGAATAGATAATAATTTCAAACCTCTAGGTTTAATTTCCTGATGCAATCTAGCTTGTGAAGCTGGTAGCTGTATGACTTTTTACCAATGCCTTCTTCCTTCAGCTCAGCTCTAGGAAAACAGATACAGCAGGATCTTTTGCATAATGCCAGCTTTTTACAAACCTTGTATCAGTCCTGAAAGACAAAGAGAAGCGGCACAACTATGTAATCAGGCAGTTTTTAGGGAAAAGTTTTCTTATCAATCAATAAAATCAAAATCTCTCTCTATATTACAAAAATAGATACAGATTATTTTCTATAATTTTTTTTTCACACGGTGGGCCGATTCCCATTTCAAAAATGTGAGCATTATAACCGAGATGGAGGATTTTTATCTTTTTGTAAACATTTTGCTAAACTTTCAGTTGCCTTCTTCAGATTTCTAATGCAATATTTGTACGATTATAAATGTTCAATAATCTTTTTGATGGTTTATTTATAAGATGTTTATGATCTAGAAAAGCAGCTTTCGTTGATACTATTTCCTTTAGTCATCAATTAGCACTTGCAAAGAAAAAGACAATTGAAGCTCAGTCAATCACCGCAAATTTATAAATGGAAGTCAAGTTGCTGAAGCTAAAACTTAAAGTATTTAAAAAGTTTACATTAAAACTCTCTTACTGCAGAAGGCATCCGAGGTGCTATTAACTAAATGCTCATTTGAGGTAAGCCTATTTTGTTCTCTGGGACTTTCTTTCAGCCTGTAGCTATCTAAAGTATAGATTGCAGAAATGTATTAATTTATGTTAGGACATTTGAACATTACCATTTGTAGGAAAAGATACTACTTGAAAAGTGTGTCCCAACATGAAAATAATATGCTTTTTAAAGATGTTAAACAAGGCCTGTATTGATATATTTAATACTATAGACTTTGTTAATATCATAACAATTTTGTATCAAAATATTTTGGAAGGATCTTTAAGGTCAAATTTAACGAAAGGTTTATGAATTGTAAAAATAAAAAACATGGTCAAAAACTTCAGAGTTCCAGAAAAAAGGGATATTTATCCTTTAGAATCTTAAGAAAAGGAATTATTTGGCCAAATTATACATAAGCAAATAATTTAAAATACAGATAAATAAAATGAGATACTGGGGGGAATTATGCAGTGAAATGTATGATCTCTGCAGAACTGACATCAATACAATAAACTATATTATCAACATAAATTTAATAATGCATTTTTTAGGAAAAAGAATGAGAACTGAGCATAACAAATATTTATGCACATCGGATCAGCCAGAGAAAGGTGATTCATGTTCTTCTCCAAAATGTAGCAGAAAGTTTGTTTCATACTTTATTGTTAAATAAGAAATATGATAATTATGTTATTCGTCAAAAAATATTTCAAATCACTGCTCTATTTGCTTTTTTTAAAATGGCAATACTAATTTTGTGAGCTCATTATTTAATAGTTATCAGTGCTGATTCTCATCATTTTCTCTAGATATGAGAGATAAGGGGAGAAGAGTTGTATGGATATTTACTAACAAATCCCACTAAATTCAAAAGTCCTTTGTTACAGGATAAACTGCCTTATATTTTGATGACTTCTAGAGCCTTTTAATTTGGTATACCCCAAAGTCTGGCTGTGGAAATGAAACTGCTTTATTACTGCATGCCATGCTGCCATTATACAAATGAGTTAAATTATGTATTTTGAAGGAAAAAGTGTTAATATCAGGCAAATTTATATATTTATATATTTATTTAAATTTATATACTATAGCTGCCCACCCCACTAGAGGTACATATAGTTCAAGATCACATTATTGCTGTTTCCTCTTCCAAATTTAAAGCCACAATTATTTTTTTCTCAATCCCACCTCCCCTGTATGCTTTCAACATATAGGTTGAATTAATAAAAAGAGTGCATATAACCATTTTTCACCCCTTTGTCTACCTCTGCATTTTGAATGAAATACAGAAGTGGTTTACCATTGCCTTGTCCCAGGCGGTATAAAAGAATCCCCATGCCATTGCCATTGAAGGGATTATCTAACATTGTCCTATGATGCTGCTGCTATCCAATATACACAGTCCTCAAATTATGATTCAATGGAGCTCAGAATTTCCATCATAGGTTATGATGGTCATAAATCAAGGGACCCATGTTACCAACCTGATTTTACAACCTTTTTTGCAGTGTTTCTGAAGTGAAGGCCCAGTTATAAAGCAAATGATGCGATCATTAAACACTGTATTTGTTAAGCAAGCCAATGCTTTCTTACGGCCAGTTTGTTGGCAGAAACCTGCCCGAAAGTCCGGTTTCTTGGAAAATACACTGTAATTGGCCTTAAAGAGAGTTATGTGACAGTGTGGGAGGGAAACAGCATCAGAACTCTGGAATTGGGATGTAAGTAAATTGGGAGGAGCATCAGATCTCTGAATGCAAAGCAACAGTTTGTTAAGTGAGCAATATGTCAGCCTAGGCCGAAGCCACCAGAACTAACAGTGGTGAACGCATGTAAGCAGGGTAGAGAAAAGCCAGGAAAAAGAACCAAGGCATGAAGGAAAGAACAAAAGTTTGGCCTGAGCACATAGCAACCCCTCCCCACATTTGGCAACCAAGGAGTTGGGCCTGCATGGGAAGCCTCTTCCATCAACAATGAGGGATCAAAAGAGGTCCTGAGGCCTGCCCAGACTTTGGGGTCATTTTTGGATCAGGACTTGGCAGCTTCTGTCCCTCTGGCTAATGTCAAGCAGCCTAGTTGTGGATGTGGGGTAAGTAACGATGAGTGTGTATTTTTGTGTGCATGTGTGTAAGACCAAATAGATCTACTTCATAATCAGTCAAAGTCTGCTGTTATTTTTAATTCACTGGGTCTCTGTGTATTTTAAAGAGCTATTAGTGTCTCAGAGTTCAGTTGAAAGTGGTTTGAGTGTGCCAATTTTCCAGGGATATGAGGGTGTGAGTGACGATAACCTGAGCGTGAGAGCACACTTGGGTAACATATACCTGTAGTTTCCAGCTTGCTTTCTCTGAGCAGCTGAGATGATGTGACCTTGCTGGAAGTAGAGACTCTGGGTGTTTTTCACTCATCCCCCTCAGGAACAGCCTTTCCACTACCACATGCCTTCTTCCTAGAGTAGACAGAGGGTGATTAGCCCCAAATCACCCAGTTTGTTTCTGTGTATGGTTTGCTGAAGGTATAATGGCTACTTCAGCCAACATGCCAAGACAAAGCCAGCCATAAAAAAAGTCAAAGCAATTCTCCAAAAAAAGCTATTTCTCATCCACTTGCATGCCCAGTAAGGAAGTTCAGGGAAGGTTTTGGTGTAGCTGCCATCTTTTCAGGAGGTAGGAGGATGGCAGTTCTGAGTCTATTAACTGTTGGAAATCCCTTAAAATGTCAGCAGGCTTGGTGATCCTATAGAAATAGGGAACTGCAAATGGCTGTTGTATGTAAGATTTTGAATTAACTCTCCAAAGGCTTTGATTATATTTAAGGTTTTTAAATTGTTTTTACTGTGTAGTGGGTTTTGGAAGGCATTAACCAGATCGGGTTAATACAACAAGATTTATTGCAACAGAAAACAGAACTGACTTAACCATTATACTTGCTGCCTCTAGGCGGCGACCAATCAATTCAAACGGTGTTTTCCCATTCAAACTTGAACTTAACTTTTCCCTCCAAAACAGTTAGAGGTACGTTTAAACTAAAATACATTAACTCCTGATATCAATACATAACAGTTTTAATTCATTATAATGGTTTTGTCTGAATATTGTGTTTTGCCCAGTCACATGCATGAGATGGACAGCTTTATAAATGTACTAAATAAATAAATAAAAGATTCCTGCAGTACTCTTTCTCTCTCTTTTCTGGCTTGTCTTAGATCCATACAGGCTTCTCCGTATTGTGCTAGGATTCGTTGCTGTTTTTCTTCCTTTATATCTATGTGTTTTCTTTTAAACAAGGTCTTGGGGACTCTGTTTATGAAGGTAGTCAAACTGATATCTATATACTATTAAAGCTCTCCAGTTTGTCTCTGTGAAAGTTTTAATTGGAAAACAGTGCATTATAGGACAATCATTTTTGTACCAAGATACCTGAAATGGGTTTACTTACGGTCCAAAATCCAGAATCCATGTCTTCTGTGGAATTGAAATTGTGCAAATTTTATAAAGTATTTTATAACATAAAATTATCTTAAGATATTTTAGAACATAGTGCAACATGTCACAGAATATTTCCTTTGGTCAACTGCCGATCTTTGACCATGCTGTACAGTTCAACATGCCTATTTTCAAGGCTGAGACATCTCTGAATATCAGCCTGACTTTTTAACAACTTTTCTAGTGTAGATAGTACAATAGAAGCTCTGCTACTGTTGAAGGCATTGAGGAATCCGGTAAGGTGACATCTCTGAAACAATGACCCAATGGCTCTTGGGTTCCCTGGTCTTAATTGAAATGCTGACTAGGACAAGGGAGTTCTAGGTTCAAGTCCAACTTCAGTAGCAATACCTTATGTAACTTTGCTTTAATGGCTATCAATCAAATAACATTGAGTTTTTATTGTAATGCAATGTTGGAGGGGATATTTAAATCTTAGAGAAAACGTGAGATATAAATCTACCAAATAAATAAAATAAAGCCCTTATTTATTTATGTTGTCCTAAATTGGATTATCATTTTAATCTATGTTAATACAATATTGGGAGAGTTAAGAGAGAGATTTTATTAGATGGAATAAAACGAAACAAAGGATGATGACTATAAATAAGCCTGCAATTGATGTGGAAGACAGGATATTAATGGAGATTTAATGACACTTTATCACTTACTCAGGTAAAAGTTAACATGCACTTATATATATATTTGCTTTTTTCTGTGATCTTTTAGGAATTGAGAGACAACATAGATGCAGAATAATTATGTAAAATGGATAAAAAGACTGAACGTGAAACACGAGTTCATCTGCCTGAAAAATCAGCAGTGCACATCATTTCAAATAGGACATTCATGGGAGTAAAAACATAAAATGACTATAAATGTTGAACCATAAAAATCACAAAGCATACCTTTTGCTTAAGAATTCAAATATAGTGGCATAATGCTTTTATCATAAGTGCTCTCTGTTACTGTAAGTAATGTCTATTCTTCAGAAGACATTGACATCTTTCTTGGGCTCTCCTGATAGGAGGACATTCCAGTCAATCTTCTTTAAGCATGTGTCTACCTGTCCTCACCTGAAACTTGAGTCAGCCAGAGGCTGAGGCACCCCAAGTATGGGCTTAGGTAATCTACTAGTAGAGTGTTTTTGTGGTTGCGCACGAGGAGTGCTTGTTTCGGGTTGTGGGTAAGCAAAGATAGCAACAGTTAAGGGGAAGCAAAAACACATGGAAGATAAAGGCCTGGTAGAAGAGCTCCTCCTAGGGACACGGAAAATGGAGCAGCTACTTTCCCCCTCCAAGTTGAATTGTGCTGTCAACTTCTGTTATGTCCAGCTTCCAGTCAGCAAAGTAGGCATTTGTACCACTGAAGCATTATCCGTGGACATTATTGTGTTACTCGCTGAAACCGTGCGATTCTCATAATACATTTTCCTATGTCACTCGTATTTAATTAAATGACTAAAGAACTGAAATCAGAAATAGCCCAAAATGTTAATGTTTATAAATATTGTACAACAAAGGAATATTTAGAAACTAATTTTTATGCATTTCATTTCTCCTTTCTATTTTGTCTGTTTGTGTGTGTTATCTGCATGTACAAGTTTTTAAAATGTGTAGAAAAAAGGATAATCTTGAATGTTGGGGAGTTTCTGAATGAGCAAGGAATAACTTGCTACTTTTTTGACCTTGATTTATCAAGAACACCTTTTCTCTCTATTATGTTTTCCAAAAGTAGCTGGCTGAAAGCTTGAGCAAGGGATTGGGATAGAAGACCTCTAAGGTCCCTTTTTTCTATTATTTGAATATCAGTCCAGGCATTCTGTGAAATGTAATACTATTATTTTAGTCTTTTTTGCTCCGTGAAAGAACTCAGGGCTCTGGAGGCATAATAAACACATCAATTCTTTAAGAAGTGAATAATATAATGCAAGGGACCAAAATTGTGCTGATCTTTTTTGGTACAGAATCAGAGCAAATAACTTTTAAACGGGTTAGATGAAGCCTTAAAAAAATCTTGACATCATACATTGTTTCCTTGTCTGACTTCAGTGCCATTTTGTTTGGGAAATATAAAGTATAATTCACAGTCTTCCCTGCCATTGGGGGAACGATGGCTTCTGATGATACATCCCTTCATCATAGCGTCAAAGAGGAGAAGACATGTGGATGATATAGAAAAAGTGGAAGCTCAAGCGATTCTCCAGGTAGGCTTAGTAAGAGGACCAAAATCACTAAAGGCAGTAACTGTAGCAAAAGTTCCAGCCAGTCTGGAAGTGCTCAACTTCACTGTTCCAAAGACTTTAGTGATAATGCTTCAAGAACGGCTGTCATGGCAGCAACAACAGCATTTGCTCAGAAGAGAACAACTCTGGAACTTCTCTAAACTTCTATTACCATGATTTTCCCTCAGATTCCTCTGAAACCTCCACAAGCAAAGAGGGTGGCAGCTTCATTATTTCATTGTTCCAGCAGTCAGAAACTTCAGAGTGGAACTTACCAGAGAAGAAAAAGGGAAACCATCTCAATGCAAAAGGTAAGAAGGCCACTGGTCACACAGAACACACCCTTCCTGAAAAGGAAGCAGTTGTGCTATAACACTACTTTTGCGAGCTAGCCTGACACTTCTAGACTGTAGAAAGTATACTATATTTTTGAAAGTCACACAAATTTAGTTAAATAGTTTAAATAGTTAAACTGCATATGGTTGATTAATATGTTAATGTTTTGCTTTGAACACTCTTGGTCAGTAATTCTACCCTCTAGGTAATGGGGGTTGTGTTGATGGGTTCAATTCACCAGTTTTTGGTGACGGGAATAGTTCACCATTGTCATGGTCATACAGATGTCAGTGTCACATGGCTTCAATAATTACACTAAGGGACAGGGAATGGGGTCCAGAAAAAGAAAAGGAGTGGGTGAATTTGAGTGGTCACTCTTACATTATTTTGACTCCATTACTTTCAGTGTTTTGTCAGCATTTAGATAATGTGTGTGTGTGTGTGTGTGTGTGTGTGTGTGTGTGTATCAATCCATCTGTCTAGGCAGTTTTCTACAGTGCTTAGGGTGTTGGCCTAGCAATCCTGCTTTAGGCACGAATGGCTAAGGAGTTCTAGGAGCTGAGGTCCATGCAACCTAAAGTTGTCTAAATACTGTTTTAGCATAGTACGTGAGTATAGCAGTTATAAAAGCTAATATTATGAGAGTTCAGATATAATTTTTCAAAATAGATCGATCAATAAATAGTTGCATCAGAGATTGACTCAATAAAAATAAACGAATCCATGCGGTAAATATCTGTTTGTGGATTTGGCTCTGAAGCTTAGGTAAAGTTATGAGATTCTTACTTTGCTCAATCTTATATGCCATCATGATATTTCTTTAATGTAGGAAGTAAAACATTGCCTAAAAAGAAACCTCAGCAGAAGACCACATTTATGACTGACCATAACATGGCTTGCCATCTATTGTCAGCAAGAGACCATAACATTAAAGAACTGAAAAATGAAGTGGCTGTTCTGCGGAATAAATTGGAGACATTTACTGTGGAAAATAAAATCTTAAAGCATCTTCAGTCTCAACATTTAAAGCAATCAGTAAATATGAAAATGCACAGATTAACCTGCCTGATCTTTTGGCCACGCAGTCTAATAAAGTGCTGACTCTGAGATCGCTACTCAGGGCATCTCAGGAAAAAGAGCGCAGGAATTCCAACAAGCTGAGAGAGGTTCAGGCAGAACTCTTAAAAACTACGGATGCCTTGCGGGCATTGCAAAAATTTTCTGAATACTAACTGGTATCTTCCGAAGAGAAAGTTACTTTTGGGATTGGAGAAAACTCCTGAGAAAACCATGGTCAGCCAAGAGAACAAATCAGTCAATCATCAAATAAACCAGCTCAGAGTTTTCACTCAAGGCACCAATGACCAGACTCAAATTATCCCACTTGGGACACATTATGCAAAGACCAAGCCCTCTGGAGAAGGTTCTAGTGCAAGGAAATGTGGAAGGGAAAAGAACAGGGTGACCCACAGCAAAGTGGATGGACTCGGTTACGGGAATGAAAAGTGCATCGTTGAAGAGCCTAAAGGACCAGATTACGAGCAGATAATGATGAGGTTGCTAAAAATCGATCAAAACTCCTTTCTTCTTCCAATTTATCATCTTGCCAAATGAACACTTCTGAAAAATGCGAAAAACTCAATTTTGTGATCTTAGATTGTCCCAATAAACTTGTTCCCCTAACATGAATTTTACAATTCTTTCTATCATATATAAATTTATACCCTCCATCAATTTACCCAGACCAAATCTCATTGTACTTGCTGGAGCCTACACTAAAGTTCATAGGATAGATATTTACCAAGGAAAATTATAATATTTATAAAATGCTCTTAAAAAGTGGGTTTAATTCTGTTTGCTTTTTGATTAAATCAGGAAAAAGGAGCTGTTTCATAGGCCAGGACTGAGGAGTATTACATCCAGTAGAAAAACATAATTTATTGAATGACTGCAGTGAGGAGCGGGAAGGAAACTGGAGATGACAGAGTTATAAAAACGTCGCCTTAACGTCTGCCACCTTATCTTTTCCTTCCATTCAACTTTGCCTTACAAGTCCCATGATGCTCAGAGAAGAAGTTCTCTAGTTGCCATGGTAGCAAAGATCTAAACATCAACTTCTCTGCCAACGAAGCCCAAGAACCGGGTAACGTGAATAAACAGACCACGGGTAGAAGTCTCTGCCTGGCATCGTAGGACGGAAGTGTAAACCCTGGATGCTTAGCGGGCACTTTGATTTCTGTTCTCTGGGCAATCGAGGAGTGCTTGTTTCGGGTTGTGGGTAAGCAAAGATAGCAACAGTTAAAGGGAAGCGAAAACACGTGGAAGATAAAGGGCTAGTAGAAGAGCTCCTACTAGGGACATGGAAAATGGAGCAGCTATATTTCCCCTCCAAGTTGAATTGTGCTGTCAACTTCCATTATGTCCAGATTCCAGTCAGCAAAGTAGGCATTTGTACCAATGAGGCATTATCCGTGGACATAATTGTGTGGCTCGCTGAAATCGTGCAATTCTCATAATATATATTTCTGTGAACCCATATTTAATTAAATGACTAAAGAACTGAAGTCAGAAATAGCCCAAAATGTTAATGTTTATAAATATTGTACAACAAAGGAATATTTAGAAACTATTTTTATGCATTTCATTTCTCCTTTCTATTTTATCTGTTTGTGTGTGTTATCTGCATTTTTAAATAACGTACCGTGAAGATTTTGGTACTTAGCGCATAGACTCAGATTTTTTTTCCATTTTATGTACATTTTTTACACTTAATTTCTCATCCATGATAACTGAGCATTCACAATCTCTGCCTCAATTAGATTTTTTCTTTTCTCCTTTCATTTGTTTGTTCACACCTTTTTTATTTCTTTCAAAGGAAGTGAAACTTCTTTTTTGCTTCTTTACTTTTTAATTTGGTTTTAAATATATATTTAAATATATGTTGGGCTCAGAACCTTCTTTCCAACTGCTTTGTCATTTGTCTTTCTAAAAATTTCCTTGATCATATTTTCTTATTTACAGATGAATTTATTTCAGCAATGGGGACTAATCTTTTATTCTTTTTCATTCCCTATCCTTCAAAGTAAAATTCCTCTTAGAAATAAGCCCTGCTCATTTCTGGAGTGCTTCTCTTGTTTGTCTGTTTATTCAGAATAGCCGTATGCAAGGGCTGTTTTTGCTCCCAGATCAAAAGAACACAAACACTTCCAAAATAAGAGGTTTCAAGTAGGTAGGGATAACCAAAAGGCATTGTGCACCTATTTTCATTTTGCCACACCACATTTTAAAATGTACGTGTTTTTAAAACGGTACCGGTTCTGCTGAAGAGCTGCGAACTGGCTGAATCCCACCACTGAAATAAGGCGAATCTTGAATGTTGGGGAGTTTCTGAATGAGCAAGGAATAACTTGCTACTTTTTTGATCTTCATTTATCAGGAACACTTTTTCTCTCTATCACGTTTTCCAAAAGTAGCTGGGTGAAAGCTTGAGCAAGGGATTGAGATAGAAGAATTCTATGGTCACTTCCAACTCCATTCATCTGTTAATTTGAATGTCAGTCCAGGCATTCTGTGAAATGTAATACTATCATTTTAGTCTTATTTGCTCCATGAAAGAACTCAGGGCTCTGGAGGCATAATAAACACATCAATTCTTTAAGAAGTGAATAATATAATGCAAGGGACCAAAACCATGCTGATCTTTTTTGGTTCAGAATCAGAGCAAACAAATTTTAAACGTATTAGATCAGGGGTGTCAAAATGCCGGCCCACGGACCAGATGCGTCATGCCGAAACCACACCCACCCCATTGCTGGCAATGGGAAAAAGTCGCAATATGTTGCAACACATCACGTGACATTGCGAGTTTGACACCTGTATTAGATGAGGTCTTAATTAAATGTTGACATCATACATTGTTTCCTTGTCTGACTGCAGTGCCATTTCCTTTAGGAAATTTTATGTATAATTCACATTCTTCCCTGCCATTGGTGGAATGATGGTTTCTCCTGATACATCCCTTTGTTATACCGTCCAAGAGGAGAAGACATGTGAAGAATGTAGAAAAAGTGGAAGCTCAAACAATTCTCCAGGTAGGCTTAATAAGAGGACCAAAATCAGTAAAGACAACAACTGTAGCAAAAGTTCCAGCCAGTCTGGAAATGCTCAACTTCACTGTTCCAATAACTTTAGTGATAATACTTCAAGAACGGCTGTCATGGCAGCAGCAACAGCATTTGTTCAGAAGAGAACAACTGTGGAACTTCTCTAAACTTCTATTACCACAATTTCCCCTCAGATTCCTCTGAAACCTCCACAAGCAAAGAGGGTGGCAGCTTCATTATTCCATTGTTCCAGCAGCCAGAAACTACAGAACGGAACTTACCAGAGAAGAAAAAGGGAAACCATCTCCATGCAAAAGGTAAGAAGGCCATGGGTCACACAGAACACACCTGTATTCAGTGTGGTTGGCAGATTACAACCGAACTAATGGCAGCTAGGCCTTTCCTGAAAAGGAAGCAGTTATACACTTTTGTGAGTTAGCCTGACACTTCTATACTGCAGAAAGTATACTATATTTTTGGAATGTTGTTAAAAGTATTTAAACTATATTGCTTTGAACGCTCTCGGTCAGTAATTCTTCCCTCTAGGTCCGTGGTGGCAATCCTATGTCACGCGTGCCACAGGTGGCACGCAGAGCGCTCTCTGTGGGCACGTGCGCCGTCATCCCAGTTCTAGGCCTTCGGCTGGGTTTTATAAAAGCTTTTCGCTTTAGGCCTCCACCGCTGTATTAAAAAAAAAAAAAGGTTCAATCAATCAATTTCAACTTCTTGTGGGAAAAAAAAAATCTCGCAAAGTTGGAATTGATTGAACTTTTTAGTCCCACCCAGTCTGCCATTACTACCGCAGCCACGCCTACCCAATGGGCACACACATCCAATGGGCCATGCCTGCCCAGCACCCGATGATACATAAGTGGGTTTTGGATTCTAGTTTGGGCACTCGGTGTCTAAAAGGTTCGCCATCACTGCTCTAGATAATGGGGGTTGTATTGGTGAGTGCAGTTCACCAGTTATTGGTGACAGGAATAATTCACCATTGTCATGGTCATACAGATGTCAGTGTCACATGATTTCAATAATTACACTAAGGGACGGGGAGTGGGGTCCAGAAAAAGAAAAGGAGTTTGCAAATGTGAGTGGTCACTCTTACATTCTTTTTGAGTCCATTACTTTCAGTATTTTATCAGTATTTAGATATGGTGTGTATCTGTGTGTGTATCTATCAATCCATCTGTCTACGCAGTTTTGTATAGTGCTTAGGGTGCTGGCCTAGCAATCCTGCTTTAGGCACGAATGACTAAAGAGTTCTAGGAATAGAAGTCCATGCAACGTAAAGTTGTCTAAATACTGTTTTAGCATAGTATGTGAGTATAGCAGTTATGAAAGCTAATATTATGAGAGTTCAGGTATAATTTTCACAATAGATTGATCAATAAATAGCTGCATCAGAGATTGACTCAATAAAAATAAGCAGATCCATGCAGTGAATACCTATTTGAGCATTTGGCTCTGAAGCTTAGGTAAAGTGATGTGATTCTTACTTTGCTCAATCTTATATGCCATCTTGATATTTCCTTAATGTAGGAGGTAAAACATTGCCTAAAAAGAAACGTCAGCAGAAGACCACATTGACGACTGACCATAATGTGGCTTCCCATCTATTGTTAGCAACAGACCACAACATTAAAGAACTGAAAAATGAAGTGGCTGTTGTGCGGAATAAACTGGAGACATTTACTGTGGAAAATAAAACCTTGAAGCGTCTTCAGTCACAACATTTAAAAGCAATTAGTAAACATAAAAATGCAGAGATTAACCTGCCTGATCTTTTGGCCACGCAATCTAATGAAGTGCTGACTCTGAGATCGCTTCTCAGGACATCTCAGGAAAAAGAGCGCAGGGCTTCCAACAAGCTGAGAGAGGTTGAGGCAGAACTCTTAAAAACAAGGGACGCCTTGCGGGCGTTGCAGAAACTTTCTGAAGAGAAGAAACTTGAAGACAGAGAAGACCTAAAGCGTAAATTAACATCAGTTACCCAAAAATTGGAAGCCAATGATAAGAGAATCCAGGTAACGTGCAACTTACATTGCTTAGAACAATGTAGCTGGGCTCTGAGAGAGCCCTATAAAGAAATGCTTTAAGCTGACTTGCTTCAGCATGCAGTAGGGACCGTTCCCTACAGGCACCATCCTCAAGTCTCCAAGATTCCTTTGATATTGAAATTAACAGAAAACCTGCTCAAGGGGGAACATCATTTTTGCTCATACAAAATTTAGAAACAAGAACAGCTTCCTCAAAGCTCTAGTTTCCAATGAAGTCTATTTGTATTCAGATTCTTACATTGTTATCCAGCAATTAGAGACATAGATGTGCTGCATTTGGTTTCCCACTTCATTCTTTGCAAAATTATTATCAAACGTCATTGGTAGAATACTTTTTCCCAAGCTTTACCAATAAAACATAATAGTAATAGGCTGTGAACAGTCTAGGTTTAATTTCCTGACCTAACTAGCTTGTCCACCTCTATGACTTTTTACCAATGACTTCTTTCTTCCGCCCAGCTCTAGGAAAATAGATACAATAGGATCTTTTGGTATAATGCCATCTTTTCACAAAGCTTGTACCAGTCCTGAAAGACAAAAGAAGCTGCACAACTATGCAATGAGGAAGTTTTTAGTAATAAATTTTCATATCAATCAATAAAATCATAATCTCTACCTATAAAACAGACATTATTGGAAACTCAGAATGTAGGGAACAGATTATAATTAATTAGTGAAATTGTGCATTAAAATTGATATGTTCAAGCTAGTTAAGCTAATTATGTTCAAGCTAGTTAAGCTAATGAATCTTATTTTCACCACACGATGCTAGATGGGTGTTGAAAAACACTACCGGGGTGTTCTGAGTGGTGGTTGTGCAAAACGTCTTGCACTTCATACTTCCTTTCATTTTTGCGTATTAGCCTCAGTTTTATAGAAAACTGAGATTTTGGTAAGAATGACTCTTGCTTTAACTAGTCAGTTGAAATACCCCATCTCTGATGACATGGGCCTAGCCAGCACATTGAAAGCTATATAGTGGCTAAACCTACCTTACTTAGCATCATACCAAGGCAAAAAATAAAGCACATTAAGGCTTGATTAGAATTAAAATGAACAAAATTTTACTCATTTCTCCTCCTCCTCCTCCTCCTCCACACTCTTTATTTCAGAATTATGTTCATCATCTGAAAACTACACTATAACTTTTCATGTTGGGATATTAATAAACAATACTCTCTTGCTTTAATTTTACGATGAATAACACTAATGTTCTTTTATTCATATTTCTTAACTATAATGATTTTCATTTAAGGATTGGGGACGTGTATTTTTCCACCAATAAATAGAAATTAAAAGTATATATTGTAACTTGTAACTAGATCTCTATCTATATCTTTTCTCCTTAATCTGCATAACAGATTGCGAGCATCATATGACATTATTTTTGATTACACAGATTATTTTCCATATTTTTCTTTCACAAGGTGAACCGATTCCCATTTCAAAAATTGTGATATTATAACTGAGATAGAGATTTTCATCTTTTTGGAAACATTTGCTAAAATTTCAGTTGCTTCCTCTAATTTCCGATTCAGTATTGTAGGATTGTAAATATTAACTAATCATATTGATGGTTTATTTCTAATCTGCTCAGGATCTAGAAAAGCAGATGTCGTTGAATACTACTTCCTTTAATCATCAGTTAGCAGTTGCGAAGAAAATGACAACTGAAGCTCAGTCAAGCACTGCAAATTTACAAGTACAAATCAAGTCGCTGAAGCTGAAACTTAAGGTATTTAAAAGCTTAAATTAAAACTCTCTTACTACAGAAGGCATCCAAATGCTCATTTGAGGTAAGTTTATTTCTTTCTCTGGGACTTTCCTTCAGCCTGTAGCTATCTAAAGTATAGATTGCAGAAATGTATTAATTTATGTTAGGACATTTGCACTTTACCATTTGTAGGGAAAAATACTACTTGAAAAGTGTATCCCAACATGAAAATAATATGTTTTTTAAAGATGGTAATCATGGCCTGTATTGACAGAAAATTGAGAAACAGTTTATTTTAAAATTTTAATTATTAAGACATATTTAATACTATATACTTTGTTAATGTCATAACTAATTTGTATCAAAATATTTTGGAAGAATCTTTAAGGTCAAATTAAATTAATGGTTTATGAATTATAAAAATAGAAAAACCTGGTCAAAAACTTTATAGTTATAGAAAAAAAGGATACTTATCCTTCAGAATATTAACAAAAGGAATTATTTGGCCAAATTATACAGAAGCAAATATTTAAAATACAGATCAATGTGAGATATTTGCGGGAGTTAGGCAGTAAAATGTATGATCTGTGAAGAACTGACATTTATACAATAAACTATATTATCAACATAAATTTAACAATGCATTTCTTTAGGAAAGAGAACGAGAACTAAGCATAACAAATATTTATGCACGCCGGATGGGTAAAAATCAGTCAGAGAAAGCAGATTCCTGTTTTTCTCCAAAAGGTAGCACAGAGTTTCTTTCATACTTTCTTGCGAAATAAAAATATGATAATTCTTTTGACTCATCAAAAATATTTTCAATCCTGGCTCTATTTTCTTTTTTAATATGGCAATACTGCATTTTGTGATCTCATTATTTAATAGTCACCAATACTGATTAAAGAGGATCGTTCTCATAATTCTCTCTAGATGTGAGAAATAAGGGCAAAGAGTTTTATGGATATTTACTAAGAAATCCAACTAAACTCAAAAGTCCTCAGTTACAGAATTTTAGTATATGTATGTGCATCTCTGTGTATTTTAAAGAGCCTTTTGTGTTAAGTTGAACTTGGTTTGAGTGTTGCAATTTTCCAGGGATGTGAAGGTGTAAGTGAGGGACCATAACTGGAGCACACTTGTGCAACAACTACCTGTAGGTTTCCGCTTGCTTTCCCTGAGCAGCTGAGATGATCTTCCTGCGTTAGGTGACCTTGCTGGAAGTAGAGACTCTGGGTGTTTTTCACTCATTCCCCCCCTCCCCCAGGAACAGCCTTTCCACTACCACATGCCTTCTTCCTAGAGGAGACAGAGGGTGACTTGCCCCAAATCCCCCAGTTTGATTCTCTGCCAAAGTCTGATGCCTTATTCACCAAATCAGACTGGCTATTTGCATTAGTAACGACTAAAATGCAATAAAAGCGATATAACGGCATAAGAATTAAATCGCTTAAAACATGTTGGTAAAATATCACTTTCCTAACACTGATGTCTCTCATGCATATGACATATTTATCTATTTATTGGCTTTTCATAGTTGTTAAAGTCAGCAAAGCTATCCAGGTAAATATCAGCCTAAAACCCAGGACACTTGGGAAGGGTGAGCCTGAAGGAAGTCAAATGACCTTCCACGAGGTATGGAACAGCTGAACAAGCCTTTTATTATTCTTAACTTCTGATCCTTTGTAAGTTTTGTTTCTGCTGATAATTTTCCTCTTGTAACATGCATCTTATAGTAAGATTTTTGGAGAGGTTCTTTTGCAGACAATTGATAACTATGTTATAAACATAACTTTGTTGCTGAAAAAGAAGCTAAAAGATGCAGCTTTAAAATTTCTTGAATTAGTAGGAAATCCTTGGGATAGTTAAGAAAATGTTTTACTAAGAACTAGTTAAAACATGGGACAATCTATGGATTGTGAGACTGACAGTTTTAACTCTATCCACTTTTGGAAAGCCCTTAAAATACGGTTTTGTCAGCAGGCTTGGTGACCCTACCGAAATAGGGAACAAGAATGGCTATGTAATATGTAGGATGGTAAATGAACTCTTAAAAGCCTTTGATTATATTTGTAGTTTTTACATTGTTTTTAACGGCTTATAATGACTTTGACTGAATTTTGTGTGTTGCCCGGTCACATGCATGAGACAGGGAGCTTTATAAATATGTTAAAGAAATAAATAAAAGATTCCTGCAGTCCTCTTTCTCTCTCTTTCCTGACTTGTCTTTGATCCATATAGGGCAGGGGTGTCAAACTGCTGGCCCACCAGCCGGATGCGTCATGCCGAAATTGCGCACACCCCATTGCGAGTTTGACACCCCTGGTGTAGGGCTTATCGTGCTAGCAATCGTTGCTTTTTTCCTTTCTTTATAAGCTTTGACCGTGCCCATTTTCAAAGCAAATACACCTCTGAATATCTCCCTGAATTTTTAACAACTTTTCTACTCAAGACAGTACATTAAAAACTTTGCTGTTGTTGAAGGCATTAGGGAATGTGGTAAGGTGATACCTCTGAAAAAAATGACCCAATGGGTCATCGGTTCTCTGGTATTAATTAAAATGCTGAATAGGACAAGGGAGATGTACACAAAATCCACCTTGACTCACAATACCTTAGGCAACTGTTTTTCAGTGAATATCATTTAAATAATCTGGAGTTTCTATTCAAAAGAAATATTGGAGGAAATAAGGAAGTCTTGAAAAAAACGTGAGATCTAACAAATAATTTTAAAAAGTCACTTATTTATTTATGTTTTCCTAACTTGGATTATAATTTAAATCTATGTTAATACCACATTGGGAGAGCTTAGATAGATACCTTATTAGATGGAGTAAAATGAAACAAAGGACGATGACTATAGATAAATCTGCAGTTGATGTGTAAGGGAGGCTATTAATGAAGATTTAATTTATCACTTACACACGGAAAAGATAATATGGTCTTATATGTTTTTTTCTGTGACTTTTTAGGAATTGAAAGCCAACATTGAACCTGAAACAGGAGTTCATCTCCCTGAAAAATTACCTGTGCACAACATTTCAAATGGGACATTCATGGGTAAAAAGCATAACTGATTATTAAAAAAAATCACAAGACATACCTTTGCTTAAGGATTCAAACAGAGTCGTATAATACTTTATTTTATTTTACAAGTGCTCTGTGTTGCTGTGAATAATGTCTATTCTTCATAAGAAATACAGAACTTGGCATGTTTCCTGGACAATTTATTTAAACTGAAGGTGCCACTTTAAATAATTTGTAAGAGTAGATAGAATAATGTGCTTTTGTTACTGTTGTTTGTCTAACAGATAATGCATATTCCTAAATAGTTACTGCCGAAATAACATTTTTTGCAGGATTACAAAGTGAAGAGATCGGATCAAGGGTAGAAGGAAACATCCAGTATGAAAAGAGAGAAAGACAGAAGAGCAGGAGAGAAAGGCAAGGGTTGGACTTACTTGAAGAAGAGTTTAATAAAGTAAAAGCTGAACCATCATTTTTTCCTACAACTCAAGTTATGCCCAAAGTAAACAATTTTGAATATGTTGCCATGGAAAAAGAGGAAAACAAAGCAGATAAGGAGGCAAAAGAAGCTATTTGTGAGGAAGTAATAACAGCAATACCAAAGCATAGACCATCTACCTTGAAAAAACACTATGTATTTACAGAAGCCACTGAAAATTTGCATCAGGGATATCCCTCAACTGGTCCCTTAGTCAAACCAAGGATGCCATGCAGTGGAAGACCAAGAAATCGGCAACAGGGTGAATTAACCCACTTTTTGGAAGATCCTGTCACCAATTATGAGCCCTCATTTGCTAAATTTCCAAACAAAAGACCAAAGGACAAGACTTCAACTCCCGGTGAAGAAACCACACCGAAGATACCGCCAGAAAAGAAAAGGCTTTTGTTGGAAAAACTGTTTGGTTCAAATAGCATATTTAGCAAATGATGGCTTGCATTATGTTATTCCTATCAAGCGCATAGATATTAGATAATAGAGATCAGAAAGTATTAGAACTAGGACATATTACATAGTAGATAGAGGATAGTATTAGAACTAGGATATATTAGATAAAAGATATTAGATAGTATTAGAACTAAGTGATATTAGATAGTAGATATTAGTATTAGAACTAGGATATATTATAATAGTGGATATTAGTATTAGAACTAGGATATATTACGTAGGGGATATTAGTACTAGAATTAGGATATATTAGATAGTAGATATTAGTTAGAATTAGAACTAAGCAATATTAGGTATTAGATATTAGTTTTAGAATTAAAATATATTAGATAATAGATATTAGATAATATAAAAACTAGGAGATATTAGAAGTTTCTGTAGTTACTATTGTAATAAGCATCACAAAAGAACTGTATTTTGTGAACGTTTTGCACATTTTTAATAAAACATATATAAAAGGAATTTTGAAAAAGATGTTTTATGACTTATGCTCATCAAATTGTACTTCTAAACAAGATTTCCTTGAAGCCTCTTTCCTATTTGAAATGAATAAAGGAGAATATTTCTTTGCTGTTTATAATCAATTGTGGCATTTCACCACACGAGGGAGCCAGCATCGGTAATCTAATTATATTTACTATACCATTTGGAATTAATGTTATAAACTTAATTTTTAAATTTAAGTTATGTTTTAGGGCAATGGCTAAACGTAAGAGAAATGACTGAAAGAAGATTATCAGGAGAAGCCAAATCTTCAAGTGCTTTTTGGGATGAACATCCAGCAAAAACACATGAAGTAATTCAGGCAATGGGAACAAAGCTTGAACTGCATTCTCACCACTGAGCCATGGTGGCACAGCGGGTAGAATCCAGTAACACAGGCTAACTGTCCACAGCCTGGAGTTCAATCCTAACAGGGCTCAAGGTTGACTAGCCTTCTGAAGTCGCTAAAAGGAGGACCAGATTGTTGGGGGCAACATGCTGACTCCGTAAACCACTTAGAGAGGGCTGTAAAGAACTATGAAGTGGTATATAAGTCTAAGTGCAAGCTGTGAAATAAGTTATGTATGACTGCAACCATTTTGCTGAGTCATGTCACTGGGACTGATTGTACAGCTGGGATATTAAGTTAGGAAAGCTTGGGGAATTTCAAAGTGGCCAGAGAGGGGGTGGAGGGAGAGAGAGAGAGAGAGAGAGGGTATGATTGGGGGGCACATCTTTAGTCAAGGGCTCCGAGCATGGAGCAGCATCACTCTCCTTTCTTAAAGAGCAATCAATCAAGTAGCTTCCGGAGACTTCCATGGAGAAAGATAAATCTCATGCATATGCTCTCAACCATAGACCCAGAAGACATTGCCACAAACCCATTAATCACTATTTTGACAACAGCACCAGAGACAGACTTGCCGGAACAAGCGGGGCTGCTGCGTCTAGTGGGCACAAAAACGCAGAGGGTCAGTGACAGTGCAGCAGATTGGCAAGCAGAGAGAATCCCCAGGGCATCTCCACTTCTCCTAAGTTCAGCTGGTCTCTCCTCCTTTCCCCCACCTCAGTTCATTGGCTCTCGGCTATTTCCAGAACTGAAGAACCAAGAGATGATTGATTTGTGAGAGACTTCAACTCTTTGTCACTTTAGATTGACGTGTTAGCAGTCTTTCAAAGGCCAGGGCCTTGCAAAACACCAATCATTGCAGGTTGCTGGAGTGGGTGTGGGGGCAGAAAGAGGAGGCATAAGACGAGGAAAAGGAGAATCTATTTCCTTAAGGATTGGTAAGACAAAAACTGGTCTTGACAGTTTTTTCTTAAATCAGGGCATTCAAGGATCTTCCTTACTCTTCAGGTGAGAAGAAAATTCTCCAAGATGTAAAATCCTGAAAGATATGTTCTACACTGCCTTAAAAAATAAAAGGACAATGTGGTTTTCAAGGTCTTCAATCCAGTTCCATATTGGTTTCTAAATGTCTAGTAAAAAAAAATAGATGCTTCAAATTCTACAGAAGAGTCATACTTTTCAGAGTCGATGGTACAAGTAATCAATCTCTCTGAGAGCAAAGAAAGGATGGCTGCTCTTTCGTTGCTTGACATATTTGAAGTAGTAGAAGAAAAGGAATATGGAGGATTAAATCGCAGACTTTACAGGAATTCTTGGAGAAATAACATTAGTCATTAAAGTCAGGACAGCAACATTTGCCCATACAACATTTGCCCATACTGTAATTTTGTCAGCTCAAGTCGAACCCCGTTTGATGGCATCTAATTAACTAATTGAGAGTCAGTTTGGTATACCAGTTCAGGCATCCATAAGGAAACCACAGACTGTACATTCTTTTTCTGCTTTGGGCAAGAAGCTAGCTGAGTGACCTTGAGCCAGTCATTCCTCTCAGTCCAAAGAAGGAGACAATGGCAAAACATTTCTGAAAATCCTTGCCAAGAAAACTACAGGGATTCTCCAGGAGATCTCTGAGAATTGGACATGATTGGATGAAATAAAAGTAAAAGTTATGACTCTCCTGATGGGAGGACATTCCAGTAAATCTTCTTTAAGCATGTGTCTACCTGTCCTCAACCTGAACCTTGGAGCTAAAGCACCCCAAGTATGAGCTTAGGTAATCTGCTACTAGTGCTTTTGTGGTTGCTTGATCACATCTTCAGTCACCCCTTGCAAACAAAATGGGTTGCTTTGATGGAAATGGAGGAAGCCCCGGCAATGATGTATTTAGAATTACCAATTCTGTGACTGCTATTGGCTTTGTCAATATGGTCCTGCCTGGCCTCTTTTCTGGTCCCTAACTACTGCTCTTCATGTTCATTCTTGTTTTGCCAGTGTGGGAAACTAAATTGTGGTGTAATTCTCCTTTTTTAAAAATGATGTTCAGAAAGAATTACAAAAGAATTCTAAAAAGTGTCAGTATGTCAGTTGGTAAAAGTCTTGAACAAAGTGGTTGATGGTAGCTGGGACTTGGAATCCAAATGCTAAATCCATGTCTTAAAGATATTGGTAGTCCTTGGTTAATAACAGCAATTAGAGCCAGAATTTCCATTGCTAAGCAACATGATTTTACAGCGCGACATTACATGATTACGGTGCCTAGTAATAGTCGCTTAAATTGCTGTCATTAAGTGAAACCTGCACTGTCATTAAGCATGATATTACATGGTTCCCATTTGCAACCTTCTGCTGGCTTCCCCAATGTCTTTGCTTGTCAGAGGTCAGCACTGAAGGTCACAAACGGCAATCACATGACCACAGCATGCTGAAACTTCAAGGTGCAATCCAATCACCAAGCACCTGGATTGTGATTGTGTGATCACAAAGGTGCTCTCACAGCGGCAACTATGAGGACAGGTCATCAATTCCCATTCATTCAGCACCATGTACATCAGGCTGCTCCCATAGTTCTTTTTTTTGTTATTATTATTAAAAAATTTTAAGTTTTACAAAAAAAAATTTCCCTCCCCCAGACCCTCCCACCCCTCCCCTACCCTCCCCCGATCTTCCCAGAGCTGAATACAGGCTTGATTAAAAAAATTTAAAAAAAAAAATCTTAAAACACATATAAACCATAAACAAATCTACATTAATTAAACAAATTATAAAATAATTAACAACAATAGATATAAAAAAATACAAGAAGAAAGAAAAGAAAAAACAGAAAAAGAAAAAAGAAAAAAGATTAAAAAAAATTTCTATGAAATATCTTAAACTTTAATTATAATTTATTCAAAAACTAAATAATATTTTTTTATATCCAACTTATATTGTATAAAATCTATCCATCTTTTCCATACTAGGAGGTACTTCTCCTGCGATTGATCTTTCAAGAAAGCTGAAATCTTTGCCATTTCCGCCAAATAAGAAACTTTTAAAAACCATTCTTGCAAAGTAGGCAAAGATTCGTTCTTCCAACATTGCCCTACTAACAACCTGGCCGCTGTAATTAAGTTTGACATCAATATAGTCTCTTTACTGTCACAATCAGAAACAATACCTAACAAAAACAATTGTGGGGTAAATTTTATCCTTCTTCTAAAAATTCTTTGAATATTCTGCCATATCTTAATCCAAAAAGCTTTTATATTTTTACATGACCACCAGATATGGTAATAAGTAGCATCCAAACATCCACATCTCCAACATTTAGGCTGCAAGTCAGGATACATACGAGACATTTTTTGTGGATCAAGGTGCCATCTATAAAACACCATAGTTCTTATCAAACTGAGATGAAATCTGGATAATTTGGAGTCATAGATGCAAGGGGGGGTGAAGGGAGAAGAAAACAGAAAAAAGAAAAGGAGTCATCTTGTTTTTCTTGACCTCAACAGCCAATAAAATTGCTTTCTAGTAATCATTGGTTACATTTTAATTTTTGATGAAATTAAACCATTCCTCCAGTTACAACTATATTATTGTGGCGCGTTGCACAGTCAACCAGATGTCCAGACTGGATTTGGAAGTTTCATCCACCTATCCAGTCCTTCTCAAGGACACGGCAGAGGTGTTATTACTATGGTTCAGCACACAGTCAGCCAGACGTTAGACTGGATGTGGTATTTTATCACCTACCAAGTCCTTCCGAAGGGCCTGGGGTAGGCAAGTAAGTGTGTTTCGTAGGGTTAAAGGTATTGGCCTTCGGCAACTGACTGAGGGTGATTTTGTCAGTGCCAATGGTATTTAAGTGGTGCCCTAGTTGTTTTGGGATGGCATCCAAGCCACCTATTAATTTTGCTCTGTTTTGCTACAATAATTCTAATTCTGTTTACTGGTCTTTGAATTTTGTTATTTTCTCCAATTCTTTCTCTGCTTTTCTGTTGTCTACAAGAATTGTCATATCCTCTTTCTGGACATCATCATTCTTATTCTTATTCATTTGCCACCCAACTTATGGTTCAAGGTGACAACTACCTAAAGGAGCAACTATGTCTTCATTTTTTCCTAGCAGCATATTACAGTTAATGGTCACCCAACAGCATTCACATAAAAACCCTTTAATTTTCTTAGTTGTGTTTTTCTTAAAAACTGGATGGAAAGGGGAAATTTTCCTATGGCTTACTTAAAATGCCCTGTTTGGAAAAATCTTACTGCAATTTAAAATTATACTATATCAGTCTCCTCTGACTTTTTGTTTGAAGTCTGTAATTAAATGCAGGTTTAAAAGCTTAAACACTAACTGGTATCTTCCGAAGAGAAAGTTACTTTTGGGATTGGAGAAAACTCCTGAGAAAACCGTGGTCAGCCAAGAGAACAAATCAGTCAATCATCAAATAAACCAGCTCAGAGTTTTCACTCAAGGCACCAATGACCAGACTCAAATTATCCCCCTTGGGACACATTATGCAAAGACCAAGCCCTCTGGAGAAGGTTCTAGTGCAAGGAAATGTGGAAGGGGAAAGAACAGGGTGACCCGCAGCAAAATGGATGGACTGGGTTACTGGAGTGAAGAGTGCATCGT